CGTGGATTCAGCCCGTAGCAAGACAATGATCCTAACCATATAACAAATGTGGTGAAATGATACTTGGACAGAAAAGAGATTGGTGGAACACTCTCAACCTTGGCTTGACCTGCACAGAGTCCAGCTTTGAACAATATTGAAGTTGTGTGTAGTTATGTAAAAAACTGAGAATGTTAAAAAGCGAAAAACAACTTGGTCGAGTTGTAGGAAGTAATAAAACACATTTATAATAAGATTTCACAAACGTACATTAATAACTGCAAGGCAGCATGAAAACTAAGTTAATACTTTGGGTAAAGCAATGGGTTCACATCCGAAATACTAATACATTGTAGAAGTTATTTGCTTTTCTTTATATTTTCTGTGATAACGTTTTATATAATTAGTATATTCAGCAACAGAACTGGTTGTTTCTGATCCTGTATTTATATTGCTTGTATGTTCCAGACTTATTTTCATTACAGTAGGTTCTCATCACGCTTGGCCAAAGTAACTACTTTTATGTAATCTTTCTATAGCGGCAAAAATTACGGTTTATATTATAGGCCGAAAGCTGGGGAAGCATTAGAAACAGTTTTGGTATTAAATAAAGGCTTCTGAGAAGTGATTTGGGGAAGACAAAAAACATAACTGAAATGTTATCCTACATGCTCTAATTTTTAAATTCTAAATGAACAGATTGCACTTTACGTTATTTTTATCACAAATCTTAAGACTGTCAATATTGTTGAAGCATGTTCAATTCAGTTCCAATTTGGATTATAATTACGCTACACACTATGGTGTTATAAGATTTACAGTCGAATCTCAAACATTGTTCCTCCAAAAGCTGGGCTATCACTTCAAAACTAGGGAGGTTTATGTGTAGATAGCCTTTCCGAAACAAACAAGTAATCAAATGCTTATAATATCCTGTATTTAAAATCGACAGAGACATTGCCTCTGTGATTTATTACGTTTCTTGCTGGAATTTGACTTGTACATACATTAATTTTCACATACACACACCGTACACAAATATTGTCATATATAATCGAATAACATAACGACGAGTTCAAAAAGGAGATAAAAGTGCACTATAATATAATTTTGATGGCTTTGTTTGAGTGAATTTTATTAAGTAACTACGAAAACAATGTGAATGAATAAGGAAAATAATTTGCACAATTTTAAAGCCTTATTAGATAATTAGTAGTGAAAATGTGAAATTTGCGAAAGAGAGTTAGTGATATCTTTCTCGAATGATCTAGTGGTTAACATGCTGAACTTTGAACTCAAGATTTCTGGCTCACGTCCTGCTGCTGCTGAAAAGTATAGTACGCCTGTCAATTTGGGCCATGCGTTATAAGAAAGACAGTAAAATCCATCTATCTGATTAAAGTAGCATAAAGTTGGCCATTGGTGTTGTTACTTAGCGGATAGTTAGTCTATCAGTTCAAAATTAGGGAGAGTTAGTGCAGATAAACCTTCAGTAGCTTTAATTCGAAATAAATCAAAATAAACCCGCTAGGCCAGGAGTGGGGCATGCTCGGACTGTAAATTTGAGGATTCACTCATTGCGGCAAAAACGCTCTTTGCACTTTGAGGCTGAGAATGAAAATCAAACCCCGCTATTTGATCTAAACAGAGTTGGCGGTTAGTGCTGTAAACTAGCTGCTTTCTCTCTAAACTATAAGCGCAAAATTAGTGACGCAAGCAGCTCTTATGTACTTTGCGGAAACTTCTGAAACAAACAGTTATGTAAATAAACTTTCCTTCAAATTCCTAAGATTTCAGAAAGCTATGAGTTTCTCTCTGTCTTTCACAAAACTCAGCTTGTTAGAAATAATTCATTTTTGTGATAAGGTAATTACACAAGTAGATAGAGGTAAGAATCCAAAAGCCACATTTAACAACTTATTTCATAGGTTATTTTAATTTTATACCGTATAGTTTCACATATTAATTATTATATTTTAAATTAAAATAAAATATAATATCTTATTTGAGCATAATCTTGTGGAAGTAGAACATATTACAATAATACTCAATTTTTGTTTGTTCTGAAAATGCGCGTGCAACTTACTATCTAAATGCGCATTCTCGCAGACATTTTGTTCAACAACGTATTATAAGCTTATAGTAAAATAACAATATAAGTTTATTTAATGTTAGTATTAAGTACGTTAAAGCTTAGTACTAACTAAACTAAAGAAAAAAAGAAACTTACACAAGTTACAGTGTTAATTTATCTCTTTATCGATTATAGGCCACAATAAATAAAGGCTAAACTAGTGTTAGCCCTAATACAAGTGAACTTATAGATTTCGGTGTCTGGGATTAGAATTATTTTGTATTACTATAGGATCTTGTATTTAAAGAAGTACTTTTGCAATGAAGATACTAATGCGATCGCAAATGTTTTGCGAATCTCTGCTAGTATTAGATTATCTATTGTAGTCAGAATGCATTGATGTAGTTGAGTTGAATATCTTTATCACCCCTTAGTCTTCCTTTCTAATGGTTTTTGTAATATCATATGCTTGAAATATGATATAAAACATTTTTCATGACTTAAAATGTTGGCGAATTTCAAGTGAAAATATTTGTATAACCTACTAGCCCAGTCAATCCTTACTTACTAAAACCTTTCAAAATTGGCCTACCAGTATCGCATATGGTATCCATTGATCTATACATGTGAATTGTTAGTTATAGCATGAGTGTGTTAAAAATACTCATGCTTTTCTTTATTAATAAAGAAATATAAGACAAAATAAGAGAATCCATAGTGAATTACCTAATATGGTATCCATTAATCTATACATGTGAATTGTTAGTTATAGCATGAGTGTGTTAAAAATACTCATGCTTTTCTTTATCAATAAAGAAATATAAGATAAAATAAGAGAATCCATAGTGAATTACCTAATATGGTATCCATTAATCTATACATGTGAATTGTTAGTTATAGCATGAGTGTGTTAAAAATACTCATGCTTTTCTTTATTAATAAAGAAATATAAGAAAAATAAGAGAATCCATAGTGAATTACCTAATATGGTATCCATTAATCTATACATGTGAATTGTTAGTTATAGCATGAGTGTGTTAAAAATACTCATGCTTTTCTTTATCAATAAAGAAATATAAGATAAAATAAGAGAATCCATAGTGAATTACCTAATTTTCCTTATAAAATAAAACTTAACGGTTTAATCAGAGGATTTAAACCCCCACCTATATGTATATGTTATCCAATTTGTGAGCATAAGCGTTTGAAAAAAACGCATATGTAATACTCAAACTTTTTGACTTGGAACAAATCTGAAATTTACAGTTTCTCATAATTTCACATCAAAAATCCAAGTATAAATTATCTCTGAAACAATTAGAAATTTTTCTACGGAAAACTTAAATTTATTATTGCTTAAGCAATTTTGTAAATTTTACAAACGTAGCTTATCATATACTACCTAAAAAGCCAGTATTTAAGACAAAAATTTGCTGTAGAATTTTAGACTAAGTGTGACCAACGACATTTTTAAGAATTGTTTGTTTGTTTTCTGAATTTCGCGCAAAGCTACACGAGGGATACCTGCGCTAGCTGTTCCTAATTTAGCAATGTAAGACTAGAGAGAAAGCAGTTAGTCAACTCTTGGGCTACTCTTCTACCAACGAATTGTGGGGTTCACTGCCACATTATAACGCCCCTACAGCTGAAAGGGCGAGCATGTTTGGTGGAATGGGGATTCGAACCCGCGACCCTCAGATTACGAGTCGAGCTTGGCCATGCTTTAAGAAAGCTGTTAGAAACTACTTACCCTAACAACTCAGTTTGTTTTAATAATCATTATTGGTACTGATCGACAGACTATTGATGCAGTGAAAATAATTCTATATTTCTCTAAAATTAGATCCAACTTCGTTCTTCATTTTTCGATATTCGAAAAAAAATATTTTTCGAATAATATTATCTATTTTATTTTATCTTTTATTTAAAGTTTGTTCGTTTTTAAATAATAAAAAACGAACTTTGTTGGTTTTTCGAACTGGCTCAAAAACGTATTCCAAAAGTTCGTTCCTTATTCAAAAAACGACGAAAACAAAATGGTTCGTTTTTCGCTCTTCAAAAACCGAAAAACGAGAAAAAGATCTAATTCGAGTTTCCTTATTTAGAAACCGATAAACGAACCTCGAACAACGAACTTTGATCTAACTTCAGCTGATTAAGTTAATCTATTTGCAATGTATTTATTATATTTTATGAATTAACTAGAAACCAGTGTCTTAATACCAAGTCTACTGAAATATGATCAGTTGTAGTTGTTTTAATACAGAACAATTAGTATCCTTACAAACTGCCCCCTTTTCCGTTATATGAACAAAAAATTAAATTGTAAGAACATCAGCTTTTACAGTAAAAAAATTGAATTTTACAGTGCGTGTAAAACCTATATAACGTCAATATGTTCAAAAGTTCTGTTTTGTACCTAACATTTATGTTTGTCTGCAACAGCATAATATTTAGATTACCTTTTATGTTCGATATCATGTGATTAACTTATGAACATAAAAGCCTAAAAGCATTATATTATTTTTGTTTCCATGAAAAAGCAATTGATAGGTTATTTCTTATGTTTTTGCTTTTTCACAGTATCTAAACTTGCTGCTTAAAATCCTATATTTAACTATATTACTACTATGTTTTAATAATGTAAAGTTGAAGCTTAATTATGTAATGAAATATTTGTTCAAGCTTTTAAAGACTATAGATACGGATTTAGATTTTTTCATTTACTTGAACAACCGTTTTAATTGATTTTATAGTATTTATTTAATAAGATGCTTCAATGAGCATACATCGTCCATATGTAAACGGTGATGGATTGCACAATAAAAATATCTATTTCTGAACATTTATAGACAAGACTTCTTCTAAATAATAAAGACTCCCAGAAGGTTATTGTGTTTCTCAAATGTAGATGTTATGGTTTAATATTCTAAACATTTCTTTACAGCTTCCATCCTTTACACTGCTGTAGTTGGTGGAAAGGTGGCTCTGCCTTGCGACATATCTTCACCAGCTGCTGATGATGTCGCTGTTCTAATTCTCTGGTACAGAGGAGAATCAGCTCAACCCATCTACACGCTTGACGCCCGCAAAGGAAAGGTCAACCAAGCTCGACAATTGGTTAGCTCTAACTTGGAAAACCGAGCCTACTTCAACATGATTAACAGACCAGCGTTTTTGCAGTTAGATCCTGTCAGATTAGACGACGCAGGAGAATACCGATGTCGTGTTGACTTTCGCAAAGCTAGAACTATCAACACTGTTATAACTTTAAAAGTCATTGGTAATGTCAGCTTTTAAAAAGTAATGATTCAATTATTGACAAAATGTTAATTAAGTTTGAAGCAAATTTACATTTTAAAGTTCTGACAATAAAGGAATTTTATCTCAGTTATTATTTATAAAGAATAAAGAAACTACTGTATATAGGAAAGGTCAATTTAGGGATACACTTAGGCTCTTGAATTGATTTTTCTTAGACAACTTTGAATTTTTCTTTTTGATTGGACTGTTGTGCTTATACATTAATAAGCACAAAACCTATCTCTAGATATTACAAACTTTAACGACGAAAAAAATTCAGATTAAGATGTACATTTTCAGTATAATACACTTTTTCTTTCATTTTAACATCATATTTTGTAGAAGAAAAAATAAGTTATTTCAAAAAGTAATATTATTTATAAGATACACGCAATTTCACATGTTAACTAAGATTCACTCTGCTACAAATGTTTGCTCGTGTTTTCTCGTTTGGAATTCTTTATAGATAATAACAATTTATTTAACGACATTTTTGTATTTATACCATACAAAAATTTGTCTGAAGAATACTTTGTATTTTATTGTAAAAATGTCTTTTAAGAAAACATCCATGCATCTTATCTATTAAAAATAATTTATACTATTCACCTTTCTATTCTATCACAAGTATTTTACGAATTACAAACAGCAAGCAATTTTTTAAATATATAACGAAAGACTATAAATACTAACCTTCATCAACCATGTTTGTCTTAAGATAATAGTATCAAATTTACGGTAACCGTTAAACACTACAATCATTATTCGATCTCTTAGGGTTTTTCAATAAGAAGAGCTTCATCGATAATGAATATTACGGACATAGTGTACTTGAAATACTATTAAATACTCTTAAACAAATGTATTTCTTACTCATTTTCTATTTTATCAATGTAAAAAAAAATCTCTACTTGAAATGCTTAATAATATTTTCCTTTTGAGGCTGTCTTTAAAAAAGAAGACTTCAAAAATATTTGTCATAAGACATCAATAGCAGGCCTATTACATTTTTAAGCACTACATTCTTAATTTAGCCCCTTGGAAATTTTCAAGAAATAGATTAGTGGATAATAATAATAGTATTCCAATCACACTATATTTGTCATGTCCATTGCCAACAACGCCTTTCGCTTAGTTCAGATATCTTCAGACCAGTTGGCATACAACAAACACAGCAGTGGTCGGAAGACTATTTATAAAAGCTATTTGGTACAATAACACTTGTTATAGCGTGTACGCCTTTTACAAGCCAACGGGGATTGATTACAGTTATATTTGTCAAAAGACATTTGTATTAGGCCTATTGGAAATATAATTGTAATCATTCTTTACTGACATGTTATATTTTGTTATCAACTTTCCTGGCGTAATTCATTTAATAAACAACAACTTTTGGATCTCACCGAGTTCCTGGTTTTATAGGATGTTAATAAGATAGCTTCTTTTTTTTTTTCGTGTACGCATAATTACGTACTTTAGCGATACAAAATTCTACCAAGAATAATATTGTACATTGAAAGCAATCAATACCAGATGATCGTCTAGGTATGGCAGGTATTTTTATGGAAAAATGTTAATGTTATTCCAAGAGGCTGCAAAACAATTAAAATATAATAATACTTATATTACAATTTTGTACATGGTGAGTATTTCATCCATAGCATATTGGGAAGAAAACATACATGTTTTAGTTTTCACTACGTAATAAAAAAAAGAAGAAATGTAGTTTATAGCAGAATATATTCCAGAGCAAACAACTTCAAACTCAGTTGTGCAATACCAACAAAACAGCTCCCTTGTTTATACACGGCACGCATATCTTAAAACAAAAACTGTAAGATAGAAATCGAGAACGTGGGTAGTGTTTCTTCAGTAAGAGACGTCATAACTTTTATCATACAACATCTATGGTTAAAATTAAACCTTCAATAGCAATATTCTAAATATTTTCTGTCATTCTCTAAAAGCTTACATAAATATGTTTCTTGTGAAACAGCAATGAATTACAGATGATATGAAAACTTAGAAATATTTCTAATTTCTTACAACCATTCTGTTTTTCTATGCAACATATTTCAGTCAACAACTTTAACTTTGTTCATATTGAACGTAATATCAATTACATCTATTTTTTCAATGTGCTTTTAGATACGCCCCAGTGTCACAGCGGTATGTCTGCGGACATACAACGCTAGAAACCGAGTTTCGATACCCGTTGTGGGCAGAGCACAGATAGCCCATTGTGTAAATTTGTGCTTAACTTCAAACAAACAAACCTTTAGATGCTTAAATCATGTTATTACATGGCTGTTTTAACGTCACCAGGAGGAAAGTCTGCTGACTTAGATTATTTTGTTGCCATTACAAATGACTATAGCTGAAGCATAGAGCAAGCTGAGATGGTATTATTATACATATCTAGCAAAGTCACGTTTGGTGATCTTATATTTATTATTAAATAATAACTTCAATTGATGATACATCTTGCAGATATAATCGGCCTAATATTTTAAAATGTTTAATACTACATAAGTGATGATGATGCTTTATAGCTTTATAGGTGTATCACAATTGGTATATAACATAGCGATAAGTAGTTACATTGAATGACTAAAGCTACGGCCCTCCAGTGGCATAGCGGTACGTCTTCGGACTTACAACGCTAGAAACCGACTTTCGATACCTGTGTTGGGCAGAGCACAAATAGCCTATTGTGTAGCTTTGTGTTTAATTATAAACAAACAAACAGACTAAAACTACTAGTGGTCAAACGTCATCAGTTGCAGTAATCCAGAGTAAGCTAATGGCATTAAGTGCTCAGTGGTAAATTATTATACTTATGTTGTAAGCTGTGATTAGCTGCATTTACAGTGTAATTTCTTTTCTTTTATTATCAAAAAGGTGGGTATTAATTATATCATGTCGAAAACAACATTAGAATCAATAAAAAAATGGATAAGAAAGGCACAATAAGGCTGAGAAGAAAATAAATTCAACAAGTAAACTGCAAAAGAAAGCACATACGCAAATACGAATCTTGGCACATAACTGAAATCATAACACAGGCCTGCGATGGTTTTATTGAATCTTGACACATAACTGAAATCATAACACAGGCCTGCAATAGTTTTATTGTCTTGAAATTTTTACATGTTTTACAGTAATTCCTGTACGCTGAATCCGAATATGACATCCATTTTCCTCCACAACGTAAAAACATTTTACAAAACGTCATAACACAATACATAAAAGAATAACCACAACACATAGTTTTGAGACTAAAAGACGTAGACTTTACAAACAAATCAGGACAAATTAGGATGCATATTCTTTTGGCATCAATGTTCTTCCCTTTTCTTTAGTTTGTTTATATTTTTGCTAACCAACTACATAATAAAAATGTTCATTGTGGTAAACGAAATAATAATTTGATGTAAGTAAGAGTTTTTTCTTCTAGACTTGTAAAAAATCCTTTCGTGATAAAAAAATGAATATTATTTTCGAAATTCGCGTAGCTGAATTATGGAAAATCCGTTATCAAAATCAAAACAACTGTGTAATCAATTTGTTCAATTATGTGGGCCTTACTCCAGTTTTTCTGGAACAAGGAATAAATAACTTATTTACTCAGTACTGGTACTTAATGTAGTAATAACATGCCTCCTCCTCTTCTTCTAACTCCAATGAAGAGTCAAATGTTCAAGACAACCTCTATTTCACCAAGGGATAATGGTTCCACAGATGAACAGTATTGCCTTGTATTCACACACTCTCCCATTTCTCAGCCGCATTAATATAGTTTCATGTAATAAAAGGAGGTAGTTGTTTAAATTTTAATCTTTGTGATTCACGCATTATGATAAATCACCATTTTATTTCATCGATATGAATATTTTAGATTAATAACAAATGACTAATTTCATCTTTTGTTGATGTTATTGATATCTATCACATAATGCTTGCTTTTTCCCTCTATGAATCTAAATTTAATTATTATCATGAGTTCATAAGACGTACTTTAAGGAGATTAGTTTGAAATATGGATAGATAAGTTATGACTTTGTTATGAACAGTTATGTTGAACAACAAATCCTAACCGTAGTATTTCTCCACACAATTAAACAGAACACGGTCTACCATTCTAAGCTGATAAAGAGATATTCATTTTGAAATTAGCCAACTTTATTCTAAATGTATCTTTATAGGAAACTTTTAAAAGACCCTCTTGGATTAAATCCGCTAACTGTATTTCACCATTTATTTATTTCAAACTTTCACCATATTTCTAATAGACACAATACGTGTTATCAAATTAGTCTATATAAATTAAAGTAAGTTGTTTCACCATGCCTTGATACATATTTATTTTCAGAATATTATATCACTTCATAGACTAGTGTACAAAATTAATTGAATAAAATTGTTTGAAAAATTACAATAATACACCTTAATTGTAAATAACACATATAATGTGGTTGACAGATAAACTGATAGTTAATATTGTTATCATTTTTAGTTCCACCAGGTGATCCTTTAGTGTTTAATAAATATGGAAGACAACTCAGTGGGATTGTAGGGCCATATAACGAAGGAGAAACGATCACTCTCTTATGTAAATCTATTGGAGGTAAGTCAGAGTTTCTTATCATAGTATGGAGAAATATCACAAATGAAGTTAGATGTTAGCTGTCAATGAAGGTTGATGCTGCAAAAATAGAATGATTTATTGTGAATCAGAACTGAAAACATGATTATCCATGACTTGTAACGCGAAATATTAATTATCCAAACCAAATTATCTCTAATAACGAGGGTACCGAATTCACGAAACAAAACATTCCAATATTTATTAGTAAAAACAGAAGAACAGCATATTTAATAAGCTATGTTCACTACCGGTATGATTTTTAGTTATGGCCTATGTATGATCAGATAATATTTAAACACTTAAATTTGTGTAAATGAGAAATCAGATTTATAATGTGTTCGATACTTTATATTTTTATCCGACCTATTCTGATCAACCATTGCTTTTTTGTGTGTAAAGTGATTGTGTATCAATTAATTAAAACAAGCGGAATACAAATAGTTTAGTACGTCTTATTGAAACGATTTTAAAGCTATGTTCTGTGGGTAATATGATGCCACCAAAAATTATCTCTTGTACGTCCCATTCCTTTCCGAAATAAAATATTCATACTCTCAAAATATTGGTTACAAAAAAAAGCATATGGATCAACTTATGGTACCAAGACCATCCAGAAAAAGTTCTGCAGCAAGTCGTACCCCAGCTGTAGTAAGCAAAGTGTGGCGTCTTCTAACAGATGAAAATTTACAAACACAAATGTAAGTGTCAAAAGACGACCACGTCATCCAGGTAACAATATGCAAAAAAATCACGAAGGATCTTCGTTTGGAAAAGCAACACAAATCGCTTCCATGACATATATCAGGTTGTTAAAGTAGACACACGACAATTGTTGTTCTTGTACTCTAAATTGATTATGCAAAGTCCAGGGTGGAGCTGTGTGCTTTGGACATTACAGCCTTACGGCAAAGACTTTTGCAATAGCAATTATGTTGCAGGGAAATTCTCTAGATGCATGGTTATCAAATAGGGAATAAACAGACTTGGTGGCACGGATTGTAAAGGCAGAGT